TAAAATAGTCTCGGATGAAAATCTACCTCAGCTAATGTTCTAAACTATAGGGTACTCTTTTACATTACTGTAAGGTTATTATTAACAACAGAGCCCAAACTTAAATGTAATTACTATTTATTTTTAAATATAAAAATTTTAACTTAAAGTCCCCATGAAATCAAAATGGAATTTTCTTGCTTTTGGTATGTATATGTTAGGCTTAAGATTATCTATATGCTAGTGTGCTCCAAAACAATGACAATATTAGCTTTTTTCAAGATATAAGCATTCAAAACTTAGTCTCTCACTTCCGCCAATATGGATCAAAATCACACTGCACTTCAGCTTCTCATAAAACTTTGTCCAATCAAATGCTCTCTAGAATCCAAAGCGTCCCGCCCCCTGCACTATTAATAGACGCTGAAGCTGCGGCTCAAATCGGTCACTTGTACACAGGATTTGTATTTTTTGTGTACAGTGAATGGCACGTAGTGCACTATATAGGGCATAGGGAACGATTCAGACAGTGTAAATATGCTTTCCGTTGGGGCAAATTAAGTCTGGTTTCGCGCTGTGTCACACTAACCGCTGCACTGTTCCGGTCCACGATATAACATACGACGGAGCGGATTATATGCACGAGTCGGCGCAGACCATAAAACTTAACGGACCCATTTAAATTCTACACAGAATGCTATATTTTATAGCAATATGAGATTGTGGCTGTCAAATGTGGCTTTACCGTGCTCACCGGCTCTGGTCCAAAATGTAACTGTGATATAAACTAAACACTATTGGCTATTTTAAAAGGGGGGCGCGACTGCTCGATATGTCCCACCCTGACTTCCTGTTTCAGTTGAAATGACGTTAGCACACAGAACAACGCTGCGTGGTTCAAAGCACATCTGTGGGCCTTTAAAAAAAATTATGCAAACATGTCAGTTGCACAAAATGTATTTTTTAAGTTAACTTCTAAATTATAAAATGTATGTTTGTTGTTAAAATAAGTTTTAACACAGTGGTTGTCATAACTTGTTTCATAATAGATTTATTTAAACACATTAAATAATTAAGACATCACTAACAGGTAAAGTAATGAGTATATAGTTTAATATTTCTTGAATTTTCTTCTCTAGACTTAATTTCTCTAGAGAACTAATGAGCTGTGAACTCTAATGACTTGCCTGAGGTTAATGAAATACTATTTAGTTTACAAGCTGTTTTATTGATGTTTTTCTGCGGTTGAAACACAGATTGAGCGATTACATGAGGCATGAGATGTTCGTTCATGTTTATTTCACATTAAAACTAGTTGTAAAGAGATGGCGGTCACTCGTGCTTTGTGAGTTTTTTGTTTGCTCGCCAAGGCTATATTTATTTGATCAAAAATACAGAAAAACAGTAATACTGTGAAATATCATTAAAAATTAAAATAACTGCGTTCTATTTTAATATATTGTAAAATGTAATTTATTCCTGTGATGGTAAAACAGTCTTCAGTGTCGCATGATCCTTCAGAAATCATTCTAATATTAACTTTTCTTAATTTTATCAATGTTGAAAACACTTGTGCTGATTAATATTTTTGTGGAATCTATGATACATACTTTCTAGGTTTCTTTGAGTCATTGTCAGACTGAGTCATTGTTTTGCAACTTAACATTGTTAGTATTCCCGTCCCTTGACCTCTGACATTAACCGTGTTTGGTTCTGGTTTAAGACTAGGGTTTAGAAATTGCTCGAATTTTTTCTTCTTGTATGGCTGACTGAAAATATTTTTGTGGTGCTGTGTGAGTGTAATTTACCGTCATTGGGGTGAGTAAATTTACAAAATTGAAAAGTCAACCGATAAGTCACGTATCTGCTTCCATTGACATTGTTTCAATTGACTCTTTCCCTCTCTAGATCTGCTCCAACTGAGCCGCTTGGCCAGTCGACAGGTCCTGTGTTTGGTTTTATAAGGGAAGTAGGGAACTGAAGCCGAAGCATGACCGCAGGCCTGCACTGTACCGGCTGGAGACTATATTAGCTGCCCCCTTATTTCTAGGTTTAAAAAAATAGCATAGAGAAACATTTGAGTTATGAACATGCCTAATACTGGACAAGGAGGAGGGCCGGCTGTTCAGAGGAGCTAAACGACTGATAACTGATTTAAGAGGAGTGGCTGTCTGTCCTCGTACACAAAGCAGAAGGAGAGAGGGAGCGAGAGGATGGAGATAACAGCAGCCGGCTGCTGGAAGGGTGGAGTGTATGTTGGGGGGTGTTGTAATCTTGTGACAGGGTCACGAGAAATAAATCAGACGCTTCAAATTATTCCATTTTCTTTTCCTCGTCTCGTCTGGGAAGGGTTTGGAGGAGGAACCGCTCGCTTCATGAATGAATGAGTGTGTTTAGAGCTCAGTCGGAGGAAACGCCATATTTAATTTGATGTGAACGAAAACAGTGCTGTGAGGGACAGAAGTACAGGCCGTTCTGTGTCATACTGGCCTGAGGTCACGTCTAAAATCGACACAATTTAAGTCAACGATTAGTCTGACAAAAAGCCACTGGTCAAAACCTATCTATACCAGTCATCCATATATCGTTCTATCTTTCCATCCATCATTCTGTCGTTTTCTGTATCTATCTGTCTGTCTGTTGTTCTATCTATTTGTCATTCTATCGCTCTATCTGTTCTGTCTATGTATCTATTCTATCATTGTATCTGTCGTTCTATCGCTCTAACTGTTCTTTCTATCATTCATTCTGTCTTTCATTTTGTCGTTCTATCTATGTTTGTCTGTCTATCCATTGTTCTATCGTTCTATCTGTCTGTCATTCTACCGTTCTATTTATTCCTTCCATCAATCCATCCATCTATCTATCGTTCTATTGTTCTATCTGTCGTTCTGTCTATGTATCTGTCTATCTATCTATCGTTCTGTCGCTCTGTCTAACTGTTCTGTTTATCTGTCTATCTATCTATTTATCGATCTATCGTTCTATCATTGTATTTGTCGTCCTTTCTATCTATCTATCGTTCTATCATTGTATTTGTCATTCTTTCTGTCATCCTTTCTATCTATCTATCGTTCTATCACTCTATCGCTCTAACTGTTCTGTCTATCTATCTGTCGTTCTATCATTGTATTTGTCATTCTTTCTGTCGTCCTATTTGTCATTCTGTCTATCTATCATTTGTTCTGTCTCTCTGTCTATCATCTATCTACCTATCTATCTTTCTGTCTTTCATTTTGTGTCGTTCTATCTATGTCTGTCTGTCAATCCATTGTTCTATTGTTCTCTCTGTCTGTCATTCTACCGTTCTCTTTATTCCTTCCACAAATCCATCCATCTATCTGTCGTTCTATTGTTCTATCTGTCGTTCTGTCTATATATTTGTCTGTCTGTCTATCTACAGTATTGATCTATCATTGTATCTATCGATCTATCTATCGTTCTATCGCTCTGTCTAACTGTTCTATGTATCTGTCTATCTATCTATCTTTCTGTCATTCTATCATTGTATTTGTCATCCTTTCTATCTATCTCTATCATTCTATCACTCTGTCGCTCTGTTTAACTGTTTTGTTTATCTGTCTATCTATCCATCTATCTATCGTTCTATCATTGTATTTGTCGTTCTTTCTGTCATCCTTTCTATCTATCGTTCTATCACTCTATCGCTCTGTCTAACTGTTCTGTCTATCTATCTGTCGTTCTATCATTGTATTTGTCGTTCTATCTATCTATCTGTCTTTCATTTTGTGTCGTTCTATCTATGTCTGTCTGTCAATCCATTGTGCTATCGTTCTATATGTCTGTCATTCTACCGTTCTCTTTATTCCTTCCATCAATCCATCCATCTATCTATCGTTCTGTTGTTCTATTATTCTATCTGTCGTTCTGTCTGTATATTTGTCTGTCTGTCTGTCTGTCTACCTATCATTCTATCTATTTATTCCTTCCATCCATCAGTCCATCCATCATTCTTTCTATTGTTTGTCTATCGTTCTTTATCTGTCTGTCTGTCTGTTCATTCATGCAGGTAGTCAACTGATTAATATTGAATACCCTGTTGCATTTGGAAATGTTGCAGAATTAAAATGTGAGCGTCATTTCATGTTGACTTTAATCTGTGTTTCAGTATGAGGGTGGGCTTGTGTGTATGTGTATGTATGTGTGTGTGTGTGTGGGCGAGTTCACATGTGTGACAGATCATACGAACCCTTTTGAAGTTCAGCCTGTACACTGGGCTTCAAAGACAGTAAACATTATTTAGATTTTGTTTTAGATATAAATGCATTGAATTAATGTTACCCAGGAGTTTCCCAAAGTTGCTTGTCAGCTGAACCTTTTAGATGTCAAATATTTACTTAAAGTACCCCCTGAAATATTATTATTTTTTTTTTCAGTAAATGTTAATCGTTTTGATTTGAAAATAACATTGCACATTACATTCCCAAAATGCATGCGTTAAAGGGGTCATATGATGCGATTTCAAGTTTTCCTTTCTCTTTGGAGTGTTACAAGCTGATTGTGCATAGATAAGATCCCTGAAGTTGCAAAGACTAAAGTCTCAAACCCAAAGAGATATTCTTTATCAAAGTTAAGACTCTGCCACGCCCAAACTGTCGTTTGGGAAATGCTGATGTAACCAAAAAGAGCATAAAAAACGAACCAAAGAGTGTGCTGCTTTCAATTAAACAAGTAAAATAAATCCCATAGACTTGCATTGAAGTGAGCCATGTAATTTTTTGCTTTTTTTTCTTTCTGAAAAAGAACTGGCTGCTAACATCACACAGGCACGTATTTGCTCTCATTAGTTAGAAGTGGCTCTTTTCTCTCAAATGAACGATTTAGAGTTTTTGTTGTTGTTTAATTAAATCATTTCAAGTGTCCTGATTTGCTCCCACACTGTGACCAAACTACACATCTGAACAGGTGATCATGAATGAAGGATGCTGTACCAATGATCTTGATCGTAGATCCAGAAGTTTAAATGTAAACCTGACCTCCGACCCTTACCTCTGTTCTAGGCACGGGTGAGAGCGGCAAGAGTACGTTCATCAAACAGATGCGTATCATCCATGGCACCGGGTACACAGACGAAGACAAACGTGGATTCACCAAGCTAGTGTACCAGAACATCTTCACCTCCATGCAGTCCATGATCCGCGCCACTGAGAACCTGAAAATCGGCTACAAGTATGAGCAGAACAAGGTGAGAATGATTCATGTTGAGTATTGAAGTTAGACGGTTTTAAGGGTGGAACTGATGAAAACATGTCTAGGTCATGTTTCACACCTATATCAAAAGACGTGTAATTTCTGCTCCACTAGTATCACCAAGCTCAATTGCAAAAAACTTTCCAGAAACTATTTCGCTCGTCACCTTTAAATAAATAGTTCACCCAAAAAATGAAATGTACTCACCCTCAGGCCATCCAAGATATCCAAGTTTGTTTCTTTGTGGGAACAGATTTGGAGAAATTTAGCCATGTCACCTGCTCGCCAATGGATCCTCTGGAGTGAATGGGTGCCGTCAGAATGAGAGTCCAAACAGCTGATAAAAACATCACAATAATCCACACCACTCCAGTCCATTAATGCCTTGTGAAGCAAAAAGCTGTGCTTCTAAGAAGCACTGTTGTGCATCCTCACAATCTACATGAACTCAGAAATGACCCTGTTTACTTTCCTAATATGTGTTCTTGGTGATATTGTGAATGATTAATTGGTGCATGTTATTTCATTGTAAACCATTTGTACATCTGGAATTTTGTCATTGTTTGCTCATCCTCACGCCATTCCAAACCCATGTGACTGTATTTCTTCCGTGGAACACTAAAGGGGATTTTTTTCCCCATGCAGTTACAATGAATTAGAACTGAGGCTTTCCGGCTTGCAGAAGTTTGATTTGACTCACGTACTCTAGTCAACTGAACTAGACTGAAATATGAGTCTTTAATCACTGATTCTTTGGGGGGGAAAAAAAACTAATTCAAAAGGTAAGTTTGAATTCTGAATCCCACATCGCCGTTTCTCATGAACTCTGAACGAGAGCAATTTTCACTGAATAACTCGCACAATGCTATCATGTGACTTCAGAAGATTTACAATATAGCACACGAGTCATATAGACCACTTTTATGATGCATTTGTGTCCTTTAGAGCTTAAAAGCTCATGCTCGTATTCATTTTAAATGACAAATACAATTCTTAAGAAATTCTCCTCAGTTAAAAAGTCATGCATTGACTTGTGAAACGTATGGTATGAAACGACAGGAGGGTGAGTAAATTAATTGTTATTTTTGAATAAACTATTACTTTCATGCTAACCGATATCCAAGATGTTATTAAATCTGGAAAAAGGAGGGGGGAAATCAATTTCTGTTTAAAAAATATCATGTCTTTCATCATGTGCAACACATACAAATCAATTCATGTCTCAAAGACTGTGTTTTAGTGTTTTATGGCCCTTTTTCTGAATGGGTTTGTGTCCATGTCTCTCTGATGATGAGTTTGGCGGCAGTCAGTCTTGTCCTATTTCTTTTACTGGCCCAATAAAATATAGGGCAGTGCGTATTTCACCACATTAATGCACACAGATGTATGAAGCCTGGAATCTGTTCAAGAATCATTGGCATCATGTGAATCACACCCCCTGCTGGTTTGCAGGGGTAAAACTGGTCACATCAGTGCAGTAGGATATATTTGGGTGACAGCAAAAAATTTAACAGCTTTACACAAATTCAACTAATAAAATTAGAAACATAATCATTTATTTAATAACTTGAATCTTTATTTATATAAATGTATAGTTAATCTGCGTCGACAGCCGTGGCAAACTTCAGAATTTGACTAAATATCTTGCTACAAAACGCAAAGGTATTGAAATGAATCGGTGAATCGTTTTTTGAACAACTTCATTTACATGAAATGAAAGTATTCATTTTGTAAGATTTGTACAGCATTTTATTAATTAACCATGCAACATAATGAGGTCGCTCCATAATTATAGAAAGACCAGAGCATGTTTAAAATAGGTTAGATGGAGTATTGCACATCTGCACTGCTGTAGATTATCAATATTTTTCTCCATTGCTTTTGCCTTAAACTGTTCATCTGCTCTGGGCTGCAGGCAAACGCCATGCTGGTGAAGGAGGTGGACATTGAGAAGGTGTCGTCATTCAACCAGCCCTACATTAGTGCCATTAAGATGCTGTGGACAGATCCAGGCATTCAAGAGGCCTACGACAGACGCCGAGAGTACCAGCTGTCAGACTCCACGAAATAGTGAGTAAATCTATCATCTTTTTATTGAATAGAGTATGATTATTTATAGTGTTTTTAAACAGTCAAATTCTCTAACAATTTTATATATATATATATATATACTGTATATTCACACTGTTGTGCATGCTTACAATCTACATGAAATGACCCCATTTACTTTCCTAATATGTGTTCCTGGTGATATTGTGAATGATTAATGTTGCATGTTATTTCATTGTAAAACATTTCTGGAATTTTTTTTTATTGTTAACTCATCCTCGCGTCATTCCAAACCCGTATGACTTTATTTCTTTCCATCTAAATGAACATTTTCGACCAAATTAATCAGACTTTTCCAGCACTACATATGAGAAGATGGGATGTTCTACAATAGTATATTTTCTGTAAATAAATATTCTGTGGAATATATTGTAGTTTCATTGGTTAAAAAAGAAATATATTGTAGTTTCATTGGTAAAACGAAGGTCAGGGACGTATATGGCCACTACTTTTTTTTTTTTTTTTTTTTTTAAGTTTTTTTTTTTTAAGATTGAATCGTTTTTTGAACAACTTCATTTACATGAAATGAAAGTATTCATTTTGTAAGATTTGTACAGCATTTTATTAATTAACCATGCAACATAATGAGGTCATGCGACAACATTGTAGCCAGACTACTGATTTACGTGCTATTAAAAATCGTATGCAATGTACAGTATGCATGTTGCTTTTTAAATTCAGCAAATACAATTGAGAAGTATGTATATATATATATATATATCAGGGGCGTTTCCTCCGAGGAGGCAAGGGATGCAGTGTCTCAAAACGTTGGATGAGAAAATAATCGATTATTACAAAAATAAAACAGCGCAAATATGACTAAATATGATATTAAAAGTCCAAAAGTCACTTGTTTTTATAAAGTAACACTGTCCAACAGCGACACCCCCAGGCAAAGTTACAGCGGAGGCTTGCCTCCCTTCAGTCCATTGACTTTCTACAGAGACCCCCAAAGCGTGCCGTGACTTTTCTGGGGGCTCATTGAGATGAGTGGGGGAAAGTCACGTGAGAGGAGGCAATGCCTCCATCGCGCTATAATTGGATATGATCGGTTATGATTGGATGTGATTGGTTCGTGTGATAAATACCGCCTCTTGGTTTCATGCGAGCTCTCGGTCTGAATGAAGAAAATCATGGCGTTATTGACTAATTATATATCAGGGGCGTTGGCAAGGGATGCAGTGTCTCCTCAAAAAGTTGGATGAGAAAATAATCGATTATTACAAAAATAAAACAGCGCAAATATGACTAAATATTATATTAAAAGTCCAAAAGTCACTTGTTTTTATAAAGTAACACTGTCCAACAGCAACACCCGCAGGTAAAGTTACAGCGGAGGCTTGCCTCCCTTCAGTCCATTGACTTTCTACAGAGACCCCCAAAGCGTGCCGTGACTTTTCTGGGGGCTCATTGAGATGAGTGGGGGAAAGTCACGTGAGAGGAGGCAATGCCTCCATCGCGCTATAATTGGATATGATCGGTTATGATTGGATGTGATTGGTTCGTGTGATAAATACCGCCTCTTGGTTTCATGCGAGCTCTCGGTCTGAATGAAGAAAATCATGGCGTTATTGACTAATTATAAAGTAAGTAAACAACTCTCCCACTTAGATACCACTACTTTGTGTCACGTCAAAATAAAACTTGAAATGGTCTGAAAACGTGATGACTGCATCAGTTTTTAGTGAGCATTCAGCGTGATGAAATGAAAGATATATCTTTGTGTCTGTGGCAGTGTTTACAGGGCTTTTATGACGATGACCTGAAATAAGTTGACTATTAAAAAGAACAGCTGAATATCAGTTCATAAATGAAAAATATTGGTAACATTTTACAATAAGGTGTCATTTAATTAGTTAATTAACATGAACAAACAATGAACATTTATTACAGTATGTATTAATCGTTGTTTACATTAGTTAATACAAATACAGTTGTTCATGTTAGTTCACAGTGCATAAACTAATGTTAACAAACACAACTTTTGATTTTAATAATGCATTAGTAAATGTTGAAGTTAATATTAACTCAGATTAATAAATGCTGTAGAAGTAGGCTATTGTTTATTCTTGGTTCATGTTAACTAAATTTGTTAACTAATGAAATCTTATTGTAAACTTTTTCCAGAATATTGTTCAAATTGTTACTGCCTTTAGTTATTATTTTGGAATAAATATAAAAATGCATAAAAACACTATGAAATGTATAATTAGTATTAAAAATATTAAATAAAATAAAAAATAATATTAATAAAATACAAAATAATTATATTTGTTCTCTTTTTTTATATTTATATATAAAACTGCCTCATTTTAAAACACCACCGCACGCATATATATATATGCTATAAATAAAAGCAAAATATTTTTTTTTCTGATGTAAGCATCAAAACAATGCCCTAACGTATTGCAATGCATCAAAGCAGGCAATCCAAGTCAAGAATAACTTAAAGAGGTTGCCACCATTTAGTAAACTGTGAACTAGAGGTCTGCATTCCCGCGGGACCTGACCAGATTTTTTGCACTGCGGGATTAAATTCCCCAATAAAACGTGGTAGCGGTCGGTAACTCTGGTGTAATTTGAACGGGAGTGGGCAGTCTCACAATATCCCATTCCCGACGTCCATTCAGAACAGCATATCTGCGCTTTATTCTTATTGACCACCGGTATGCACTCGGACTGTTATGCACGAGCTGCACGCATGCTTTCTGTGCCACGCATTTTATTTGCGTGGTCGGCATCTGCATAACGATGCTCAGAGCAGGCTGTACCGGTGGTAAATATATGTCCCTCAGACAAAACAGGCAGGTTGTCGATGAGTGAGAGAGCAGAATAAGGATGGAGCAAAGTGTGGATGCGCTGTCCTTGAAGGACGTTCAAATCGGTTTTGTTTATATTTTGCTTAGCCTATAATTTTAAATGACAGATGTCATATTTATGTATTTTTCTCTGCAACTTTCCTACTGTTAACAGAAAAATGTCAAACGAATTTAGTATTTTGACCAGACGAAAAAAAATAGCTAATAGGCTTATTTTTGTACAACCTAACACTTTTTCCTATTGTGTTGTCAATGTTAAACGCATTGTATCCTGACAAGACGAATAAAAATAAGAAATACAATTTTTGTTCAACATTTTTATTTTCTCTGACACTTTTATTTCCAACTGTGTTGCATAAAATATTAAACAAATGTGTCTTAAGATAATTCATATAAATTCAAGTCAAAGTCAAAAAATTCAAGACTCCTGACAAAGATGAATAAAATAACATAGTCTACAATTTTGTACAGACTACGCTTTTATTTGTCAGCCTATCTCTCTTTCTTTCAGTAGTGGAAATTTAAATGTGAGATTCTGGAAACAAGATTTAATTTAGCAGAATGGTCGAGTCGGGAAGAAAATTATTCTAAGCGGACAGCGGGTGAACAAAAAGTGAATATAGCGGGAGCGGGTGGATGTGGAATATAACTTTGCGGGAGCGGGACTAAAAAAATAGTCCTGCGCAGACCTCTACTGTGAACTAGCTTTGGCTCTTCCTGCTGACTTGAATGGTGATGCTTCCCGTTTGTCGGTTAATGATGGCCTTTCATTTTTAACCAGAAATGTGCACGCTGCTTTTCTGATGTTCACTGAAGTTTTCCTTGTCTTTTTCCCGTGTCACTTGTAATGTTTCCATTTTGAATCGTTGTTACCAAAGGCGAGACACGTGAGCAAAAAATAAACGATCAGTTGTGAGACTATATTCTGTCATAAATCGCATACCATTCAGTGCTGAACTTTCTACCGTCCGTTACTGGAAATTAAATAAAATGACTGGTTGATGTATCCCGATCTCAATAAAGTTTACACACGCTTTTGGTCCGTGAATTAGATCTCGCTCGGGGCGCGCGCTGTCTGTGGAGGTTTGGCCAGGACCGGTTCCAGAATTAAATCAACATATTTTATGTTCCGTCCATTGCCAGTCACTGCTATTTCGAGAGTGAATCCCGCATAAATATGCGGATGTCATTCCCGAAACTTTGCAGGATGTAGCCTATATGTCCGAAAAAGGAAAGTTTCATACAAATTCTGAATGGATTATACCCTAGAAAGTGCGCAAAACGTGCACCCTCTATCACGAAAAGCGTCACTCATCTTCACCTTCATCTTCATCCTCATCTTCATCTTCTTACAAAGTTCCGTTATAATCAATGAAGCTCTCTAAACTGCACAATGAATCTCTTATTTACATCGCGTCTGCACTTAGTCATGAGATGATTCACGAGCGTGCAAAACTGTATACATATTATATTATATATATATATATATATATATTGTGCAAGAAAGTAAAAAAAAAAATATATATATATATATATATATATGTAACGTTAAAAAATTACTAACATTAATTTCTTTATTCTTTTATCATTTTTTTTTATTCTAGGAAGATTTTTAATTTTCCAGGATTTAATTGCATGACAATAATGTCACAATGCAATAAAGTCTTAGTTGTTCTGAAAACACCTTACTATTCTTTATGCAGAATATAATTTCTAATTTCTTTTGACTTTGGATTGGTTCTTGTCAGTTTTTATGGTGTTTTCCTTCTCATTCGACATTCAATTCAAATAAGCCAGGAAAGAGATTTATCATTATATACACCACACTATTTCACTCACATGTTTTTCAGAAATATTAGACCGTATGCAGTGTACATTCTGCACATAAGATAAGTCTACCTTAGTTTGATCAGACACACAAAACATTTGTCTTCCCTATTTAGCCATTGTGTTTTTTTAGATTGTCTCACAAGACAGCATAATGAGTATCCTCTGAGATCTGCTGACGGGGGACGACGTCTGACTCTCGAGGGTTCTGCTGGAAACATCCTTTACTAAACCACCCGCATGTGATATAAAGGGGTTAATGCTGTTTTTATCTCTCTCTCCTTGTCTTTCTGTAGCTATCTCTCTGATCTGGATCGTATCGCCGAGCCCTCCTATCTTCCCACCCAGCAGGATGTTCTGAGGGTTCGAATCCCGACCACGGGGATTATTGAATACCCGTTCGACCTTCAAAGCATCATTTTCAGGTAGAGGACACGGACCAATTATTCGTCAGCTTTCGTTTGAAATTTAGGAACTTGGCACTTAATTTAGGTTAGCATTGAGAATACATCCATGGAGGAGAGTTATTAATATTTTCCCGAGCTGAAGATGACTTTCTAGTGTGTGACCTACAAAGATACAGCCCACATCACACCACACATCAGTCAGAGTTGTCCAAATTGCACTTCTGTTGATTTTTTCTTTTCTTTTGTCTTTATTGAGCCATCAAAACAATTTCTAATTTTCTTTTAAGAGAGGAGCACTGTCAAATTGAAATAAGTATTATGTACACTAATGTTCAAAAAGTTTGGGGTTGGTAAGGTATTTTAATGATTTTGAAAGAAATTTTTTTATCAAAAATACAATAGAAACTGTAATATTGTGAAATATTACAAATTAAAACAAGTGTTTTTTTATTTGAGTGTATTTTAATAATGTAATTTATTCCTGTGATGCAAAGCTGAATTTTCAGCATCATTACTCCAGTCTTCAGTGTCACATGATCCTTCAGAAATCATTCTAATATGCTGATTTGATACTCCTCAGGAATTTTTTTTTTATTATTATCAGTGTTGAAAACAGTTGCACTATGTATAACTTAAAAAAAAAAAAAAGTTTAAAAAAATATTTATTTAACAGTATATTTTGATTAATAGAACGTTCAAAAGAACAGCTTTTATTTGAAATAAATCTTTTGTAACATTATACATGTTTTTACCATAAGTTGTGACCAATTTAATGCATCTTTGCTTGATAAAAGTATTCATTTCCTTTGAACTGTAGTGAGCGCAGAGACATAGCAACCCCTTGCGTATTGAAATACATTGATTATATTTTAAAGAGGTTTATTTTTCATGGTTGCGGTTTAAATGACTCTAAGCAGAAGCCTCTGTCATCCGGTCGCTGTGGTTAAACGAATGCACAAGTGGTAAATGGTAATCCCTCCATGGTTAGCATTTACTGACTTCTGCCTTTTAGCGAATCTAAATTCTAGATGATGTTTGAAACATTTTATTGGTAGCACTTTGTGTGTTATTGCCTGCTTGGGATGAATGACTTTGTTGTACTTGTCATTTGTTAGTCGCTTTGGATAAAAGTATCTGCTAAATTAATAATTGTTAAAGGGGTCATATGATGCTTTTTTAAAGATCATTATTTGGTGTAACAGAATATGTTGACATGCTTTAATGTTCAAAAAACACATTATTTTTCAAATACTGTACATAGGGGGGCGTGGCAGAGTCTTAACTTTGATAAAGAATATCTCTTTGGTTTTGAGACTTTAGTCTTTGCAACTTCAGGGATCTTATCTATGCACAATCAGCTTGTAACACTCCAAAGAGAAAGGAAAACTTGAAATCGCTTCGATATTGTGGCACGTGTGCAGCAGTGGACCATGTTTAATTTGAATACAAGAACAACGTTTGAAACGGAGTAGAAAAATGCAAGGTTTCTAAAAAATAATGAATAGAGCATAATATATAGGCTACAACAAGGTTTAATCTGGCCGCAGAGGAACACAACCGGGGTTGCCTGATATAAAGAGACGTAATCCCCAAAACAGAGCTTCCCACTTGCGCAATACGGAAATATCTGCTAAATGTGCTACTTATCTGTGTCAACCTGGCAACCCTTTGCACGCGCTCTCTCTCCACTGTGGATAAACACGCTTTTTTTTCTGAAAACACTGGTTAGCTTGCAGTTTAGCGATCTCCACTTCAATATTCTATTCTCAGAAAAATGTGATTCATCAAGTGTTTATTTATGAGAGAGAGAGAGAGAGAGGCGGTGTATGTATGAATTACCACCGTTTTGCCGCGTTTCTCTATTAACAGTGAAGCTGTGGCTTTAGTTCTTTTAGAAACAATGATGTTACCAGCTCCTTGTTGAGAAAGTTAATGTAGCTCTTGAGCGATTAAGCTATTTAGTTGATCAAATTGCGGGGCAGCGCTAAAAAGTTTGTTCTTGAATGTCTGAGTGAATGAGCGTGTGTGTGTGCGTTAGAAGACAGCAAATTAGTTTGGAACTCTTCTAATTTTTTGTTTTTTAAACAGAGAGAGTGTGTTAATTTGTGCAATTATAACCTACCAACAGTGTAAATATGATTTTTTTTTATATATTAGAATGAGTACATTACAATATAAATTTATTAGAACGAGTACATTATTATTTATGGGCTTAAGAGCTTACAAGATGCAAACGATCAGAATATTGTACCTGGTGGGAAGTGCCCAATGTAAACATGAAACATATGCCATTACCTATATTGTAGGCTACTGTGGTACAGTTATGGAGGCCCTTCATAATGCAGAGGTCAACTGCCTGCTCTGCCAATAGTTAGAAATGGCACTATAGTATGCAATGTTTAATAAACGACTGTTTTACTAAACTCTTCTGAGGTGAAATTCAATGCAATCCCGTATCGTGATATGTATCGTATCGTGACTTTGCTGGTGATACACAGCCCTATTGGCTGCACATTTAAAACATGCTTATGAAGAGATGCTGATGAGGTTTACAAATTTTTTTTTTAATCGTTCCTATGTGCGTGCTATGAAAATTCATGAAAACACACAAGAGATTATTTCTGCCCCCTCTGCCATATTGACTCCATAAATGATTACCATCAGCTCTGTGGTTGTTAATCTCTGTAAAACTGTCTTAAACCCTCACGCACCTCGCGTCGAGCTTCCCGGAAGAGTAAAAGTGAGCACGCACGGCCTCTCTCGCTCTCTCTGTCTGTCCTCCTGCCAAAGTTCGCTAAGTACGGAGTGAATGTGGAGACTCGTCCTACATTAAAGAGCGTGTGTATGTTCAGAAGTAGGTCACCGAGCCCCTGGCTGAAGGAAATGAGGACGCTTCTATCTGAAGGAGCTTTATTTTGGGCAGCCAATCCTAGAGGGCTTCATTTATCAAAGGCCCCTCTGTGAACTGCTGGCTCAGGACTGGAGCTCTGACTCCACTAGGGGGCGCCATAGAAATCCTGATATCAGTGCTGGATAAACAGCGCCGACTCTGGCTGAACATATTTACCATGTTTCTGAAATCTAGGGCTGCGAGTATGTTCAGAAAAGAATGCTAAAATTCTACTTTTTCAATTAATGCAGTATGCATATTGTGTGTAGTATGCAAATATTTCCACAATATTTATCTTTATTGACTCATTATGTGATTGAACTGACAGATGTTTACTTAAAAACATTTGCATAATACTTTCTGGTTCAATTTTTTTATTTTTTTTTAATAGTAACCAGTATTGGTTCAAAATTAAATGCTTGCATACTGCATTGTATTCATATTACATTGTTTGAAATACTGTATATTGCCTACTGTTTTGTAAGTAGCATGTAAAACTGAAAAAAAGTATGCTTTATGCAATGGTAAATAAACAGTACTATACTATGTTGTTGCATCATTTTTTTTTATTTTTTTTTTTGCATATTCGGAAATTTCCAAGATTTTTTTTTTATTTTTTTTTTGCGCCATTGCATTTAAAATATTTTTATTCGCAGGATCATTCCTGGACTGGCTGGATTTAACATGTAACATATGACGAGTTTATTTGCAAAAACCGATAAACGGCACTTTAAAAAAAAAAGAACTGAGTGCCGTGCATTATTCTCCACATATAGCGCGATCTGAACCCTAAACACGTTTTGTAAAAAAAGCCAATATTTTTCCACTTTCAAGGCATCGCAAGTTCACATTTTACTGCAGAAACCAACAAGCGCCCTTGTTGTTTGTGAACAGAAGGCGAAATGTCCATTTTAGCGAATCAGCGCGCTGTATTCAGGTCAGGTGACAAGGCTGCCAGTCACTTTGAAAAGACGTGCAAGCTGAGAGGAGTTTTGTCAAAACTGACTAAAAGTGACCGAGGATGGATAATTACGATGAAATTGATGAACCCGTGATATCTTATTCAGGGTGTAAAAGGAACCTTGCAAAAGCAATGGTTGAGGGAAAAGCTCTGTGTATTGTGTGCAATCACATCCATACAGTTTATGATCACAACAACAACGCTTGTCAGGCATCTGCATTGTCAGCTGAGGAAATCACAAAGATAAAACAAGTGGTTTTGTTTAACTCTGAAACATGATGTGGAGTTATCTGCTTTTGCTAAAAAAACGACTGTTTGAGTTATCTGCTTTTTCTATAATACAAACTTTTAATATGTAAAAAAAAAAAACTAGTGCTGTCAAACGATTAATCGCATCCAAAATAAAAAATTGTTTACGTAATACATGTGTGTGTACTGTGTACATTTATTATGTGTATATATAAATACACACACATACAGTATATATTTTGAAAATATTTACATGTGAAGAATGTGGAAAATTTAGTTTCCGCCAAAATCAGTATTGTATCTGGTCGGTATTGAAAAGTCGATTTTTTTATTTAATGCAAAATGCGATATCCACCTAGTTATTCTGTCATGTTTTCTTCCTTTCTTTCCAAACAAACACGATTCTTTCCAGACAAACGCCAGTCTCCCTTTTCTGCAGAATGCGATATATCCGCTCAACCAATCACAGAGCACCATTCCACGCACTCTAGACAGTAATGACGGCGCTTTGAATACTCCCGGCTTCCTAGTTCTCTTCATCTATTTTGTACTTTGTGATCAACAAACAAACTTAGGGCTGCATGATAAATCGCATGTGATTGTCATGCGCATCTCGTCAGTAAAGCCGGTTCTGTGATTAATAGTAAATCTCCACCACGTGCTTTCAGATGGAGCGGCATTTAATACACCGAGACGTAGACCACTGCTATATCTGTTGTAATTAATGTTGTAATTAATTTATAGCATTAACAAGATGACCCGTTGAATTCATTTTGGGAGCGATGACTGATTGAATGTATTTTTAGTCCAGTGCCTGTATATAAGATTAGTATTGACCAAGTTCAGAGGCTGTCATATGTGGATCGACTTACTATGTTGTGTATTTTCAACAGTTTCAATATGAAAAATAATCTTTATATTGATTCAGTGGATTTATTGCGTTTTGGGGGGAAAAATAGCACAATTTTATAATAAATCTTTGAAAATCAAAATGTGGATTTGAATTTTTAATGTTATTATAACCTAAAGATGCTATGTGAAAGTTTGAAACCGAAAATAGTGGTTTTCATCTTGACACTTTCTTGGTAAAGAAAACACATTTTTACTCAAATTAATCAAAATGGATTTATAGCGTTTTGGAACCAAACTCTTCATGTATATAT